GGGGGGTGGGGGAAGTCAAATTGTTCTCCGAGGATCCTGACACCCGACCCAGGTCAATACCTCAGAGTTAAAATTCTGACTGTTGGCAGTCCTCACCTCAAAATTGTATTGATGAATTTACCGCGGCTCCGCCTTTAATCCAATTAACTGTAGTCACCGTGTTTTTAGTTTACCACAAAAATAAAATAATTAAAAAAAAAACTTAGGTGCTAAGAAATGAAAGCGGAAGAAGAAGAAGAAAAAGAAGAAGAAGAAGAAGAAGAAGAAGAAGAAGAAGAAGAAGAAGAAGAAGAAGAAGAAGAAGAAGAAGAAGAAGAAGAAGAAGAAGAAGAAGAAGAAGAAGAAGAAGAAGAAGAAGAAGAAACAGGCATTAAAGGGGAAAGTAAATTGACTAAGGATAGAAGAAAATCCTTAAACCCCCCCCCCCCCCCCCCCCCCCCAACCCCTATCCCTAAAAAAAAAAAAATCAAGGAAATAACTTTTCTGAGAGATGCCAAAGGTCATGGACTGAATTATGTCCATGATATAGAACGTGTTGAATCGAATAGAACCAAATGTATTTCTAAACTGCAAGCGCTGTGGAACATAAAACAGCATGATAGGACGATGATGTTTTCTATGACAATCATTTGCATCGCGTTTTTATTTAAGATGATAACAATTGCAGTATCAAATAATAGAGGTCTACAGCTGCTGATGAGATACATTAGTGTATGAATTATCAAGTCTCATGTGGTATCGTTCCATTTAAGCCATCGAATGATAGGCAGTCCCATGACAATGAATATGTAAAACATATTGTGCTAGTACATCTGTTGATGCTCCTAGTTCTTGTATAATACCGGGAAAGTATACCTTTGTATAATACTCGGATGAATGAGTTAGCTGCTGACAATAGTCATAGAAGTATTATAACAGAGAAGGAGAACAGAAATTCATACGAGTTTTATATATTTAATTCATCAACTGAAAGTGCATATGAACCTTTCTGAAAGTGCGTATGTATTGTAAAATAATCAATGTCATGGTCACTGAATGAATGCTTAAAAGGTTGAGTGAATTAACTAATTAATTATTTAATTTACTATACTACTTACAAGACATTCCTAGACTTTAACCGTCCCTCTCGTCAACAGCAACATATTTTAAAAAGTTCCGACATGAAGTATGCATGCCTTAGAATATTGTTATTTGAGACAGGGTGTCATAATTTGTAATGAAGAAAAATGTTTCCGACATAGGTTACTGGATGATAATGATAATGATGATAATAAGGATGTTGAAGATCTCATGCAATCTTCTTCTTTTTCTTCTTGACCATTTCCTTCTCCTGCCTTTTCTTCTTCCTCTTCTTCTTCTTCTTCTTCTTCTTCTTCTTGTTCTTCTTCTTCTTCTTCTTCTTCTTCTTCTTCTTCTTCTTCTTCTTACTCTTCTTCTTCTTCTTCTTCTTCTTCTTCTTCTTCTTCTTCTTCTTCTTCTTCTTCTTCTTCTTCTTCTTCTTCTTCTTCTTCTTCGTCTTCTTCTTCTTCTTTCTTCTGCGTTAGCCGTTAGTGGGGAGGTTGGCATATTGTGTTCTGATTTACATCTAGGCTGTGATATCTACGTATTTTGGCTAAAAAAAATCGATTTTAGAAAACTCCTAATTTCTCGCCATATTAGACGTGAATGTCATTAAACCTCGCCGCTACCCTTCCCCCGCCACCCATCTTAAGCTGGTACTCCCGCTCAAATCAATAACCGAAGAGTTTAAAGTTGTCAAAGTAAGACGCGACAATACGGGGACTGCTGTCCAGCCCGCTTTAAAGACAGGTCAGAAATGGAAGATCCTAGTTCGATTGAATCTGCCCAAGATGCACTGACATTAAAAGAAGCGATGGGTTATACACAAACCGACCATTTGGGTCTAAAAAGCCGCTAAACAGTCACAGCAAGGCCATTGGATCGGCCTCGAGAGCGCCTTGCCATGAATACTCACATGGGGTGAAATCTGGCGAATGGCACCGCTGCGGCTGAGGTTTATCGTACGATCTGTCTACGATGTGTTACCGTCAAGTGTCAACATGGTCAAGTGGCATGCGGCTGCTGACTCAGCATGCCCACTATGCAGAGCTAAACAGACGCTCGAGCACATATTGTCCGCTTGCAGAAAAGTCTTATGTCAGGGAATATATACCTTACGCCACAACAAGGTCCTGAAATTGTTAGCGGCTGTTGTCGACCGAGCTAGGATGAGAGCCAGTGCCCTTCCTCAAGGCTGGGCAGATTTATAACGGTAAATTCAACAAAGTCGCATACGCTTCATCGATGCTTGACTGTGCGAGGGACTGGCTACTATCGGTTGGCCTGCTTAGTCGCGAAAAGTACCTAGAGTTAATCCAGAACAAAGGCCTGTGACCCGACATAGTCATAAACTCTGCGGACTAAGAACAGCTTGTCCTGGGTGAGCTTACCGTTCCGTATGAGTCGCGAATGAACGAAAGCCAAATGTATTAGCTCGAGAAATACAGTGACCTCGCGGCAGGTCTGAGGAGAGACGAAGCGTACAAAGTGAGAATCTGTGCCGTCGAGGTAGGCGCAAGAAGTCTCATTTCCATTTCAATGTAAAATGTAATAAAGCACCTAGGCTTGCGAGGAAACTAGCGCAAACGATCTCTAAAACAACTGGGCGAAGCTGCTGAGAGTGCTTCGAGATGGCTTTGGACACAACGGAACGTCGTGGGGGACGGGCCTCGGTAGGCTGGTTCAGGTATATAGTGGAAAAGAAAGTCGTATCCATCGTGTCCGAATAGTCTGCCGGTGTCCCTCTGCCAGTTGCCACCATAATCTAACATGTGTCCGATAAACCAACCGTAAGCTTGCCACTTGGTCGTCAAGGTATGCTGACTGATCCAATAGGCTACCGCAGCGACTATGTAAATAAACTTCGAATCTCACAGTACCTGTTGCATAGTCACCATTTTCGTCTTGTCCCTGTCCGATAACATCCGGTAATACTTGAGGCAGGGGCAGAGCAAGTCTGAACTTCTTTAACTCAGGTGGGCCCACCCTCTGAAATTGTCTAGGAGCTCGTGGGCCGAAACAATTGTAGACAAGGGATCACTTCTACTGATGATTGGTAGACTCCTGACGTTTCCAGGCAGTCATTTTCAGTTATCCTGGAAGTTTAAGGTCTTGGCTACATTCTTGTCATATGCCAAATCTCACTTGCCTTCAAACTCTCCTTAATTTCCACAAAGTATGTGTACTGGAATATATAAATGTAAATTTAGGCCCATATATAAATGGAACGAAATATGAAGACGGTACGATCAACATAAAATATCTTCGGATACCACCATATCATATGGAGAAAACGTTTGAGGTTTTTATTAGGTACATTTTGTGTAAACAGCTACATGGAACGGCATGCTGAACTCCCTCCTTTACCTTCCTTCCCTTTTTTCAGGAATAACATCCTCGATGAAGACATCATCATTTCACTGCGTCGTTCATACGTCTCTTAGGTCTTGAGTCTATTCTTCCGGTAAACGCGAAGAAGAAGAAGAACAAGAGGAAGAAGAAGAAGAAGAAGAAGAAGAAGAGAAGAAGAAGAAGAAGAAGAAGAAGAAGAAGAAGAAGAAGAAGAAGAAAAAGAAAAAGAAGAAGAAGAAGAAGAAGAAGAAGAAGAAGACGAAGACGAAGACGAAGAAGAAGAAGAAGAAGAAGAAGAAGAAGAAGAAGAAGAAGAAGAAGAAGACGAAGACGAAGACGAAGAAGAAGAAGAAGAAGAAGAAGAAGAAGAAGAAGAAGAAAAGAAGAAGAAGAAGAAGAAGAAGAAGAAGAAAAGCCCCTATCATAATTATCATGACGGTTTGCTGTACATCACTTGTGACTCGCAATTGGTAATTCTATTTTTTTTATCACTGGCTATTGTCTTTTATAGTGTATGAAGTCTACGTCAGCACTTCTGTACTTTCTTATCAACGTTCACAGCAGGGTCTCTTTTAAACATTCAAGTCTTCTCAATCCATTCATTTCCTACTTCAATGCCCGTTCTTTGATTCGTTTTCGCTATATCTCTGAATGTGGTCAATCTATGGCTATCTTCTTTGTTTTATAAATGTTAATACCAGCTGTTGCTCTGACAGCTCACTGATTTCTTTGTTTACTTGGAAATCCTATATAATGCCTTTCACATTCTTCAGGCGTTTCTTTTTATCGAAACAATTTCGCTCCATATGGTTTCCCATCTTTTACTACCTTATGTTACAGTTGAAATTTAAGAAATGAAAATATATGACTTTGTTTTTAGTTGCGATCGGGAGCAGTGCAGAACGCATATAGATCACACAGTCCGGAGAGAATGGTGCTGAAGAAGTGACCAGATATCTGGCAGACACTCAACATTCAGAGGAAAGGCAAGACGCTCATACAAAACGACTACTACTGGCAACATTAGAATTGGAACCCCGCCGCAGACTGCTGAAGATAGAAAGCAAGCAGATGTGGGAATATCTCGAGTGATGCAATATTGGTTCTTAGCTCACACACTTCATTTTATATTTAAAGTAATAAAACTAGATTTTTAAACTGTCAGTTATAGTTCAGTGAACAGCTATAGAAAAGCCTAGGAGGTTACGTGGTCTCGAGGCATGGTGTCCGCCTCCAGTGCTAGAGGTTCCAGGTTCAATCCCCGGTAAAGGCTGTGATTTTTTTACATGTACTTGGACTTCTAGTAATTTCCCTTGGTCTTTGGGTTGTGAGATCAGACGCCCGTCAACATTGTTGCACACGTAGAAACTCCCTTGGCAGTTGGAAATCGAAAAGAGTAGCCTAACGGCGCTGCCAGGGCAAAATTTAGAGTTCAAAATCTACTCCATGTATTTTAGGATCATCGCCGGTGCTACAGAGCTGCTTGCTGCTCAAAACAGCGACGGAGCGTTTAAATAAACATTAGTTTCTGTTGAGTCTTTGTTAGCTATGAACGAGAGAAAGTCCATATATTCTTCTATGGTCTACAGGATTGGCTATGTAAGACAGTGCTCAGTCTTCATCAGTACTTCCAGATGGCGAATTTTGCCTGGATGCTTGTAGAAGGCATATACCTGCACAACCGACTGGTGGTGTCTGTTTTTCCCTCAGCTGCTCCTTTCAAATTATTTTATTTTATCGGCTGGGGTGAGTATGCCTTTGTTTCTTTGTTTCTTTCTTTGTTTCTTTCTTTGTTTCTTTGTTTGTTTGTTTGTTTGTTTGTTTCTTTCTTTCTTTCTTTCTTTCTTTCTTTCTTTCTTTCTTTCTTTCTTTCTTTCTTTCTTTCTTTCTTTCTTTCTTTCTTTCTTTCTTTCTTTCTTTCTTTCTTTCTTTCTTTCTTTCTTTCTTTCTTTCTTTCTTTCTTTCTTTCTTTCTTTCTTTCTTTCTTTCTTTCTTTCTTTCTTTCTTTCTTTCTTTCTTTCTTTCTTTCTTTCTCTCTTTCTTTCTTTTTTTCTTTCTTTCTTTCTTTCTTTCTTTCTTTCTTTTAATGATTTATTTATTTATTTATTTTTCTTTCTTCATCTATTTCTTTTATTCTTTTCTTTTATTACATTCTTTCTTTCTTTACTTCCATTTATTGCTTTCTTTTTTCTTTTTTGCTTTTTTTTCGCCCTGTCCCACTTTTTTTACTTCTTTGTGTACTAACTGTTTTTTTTTTAAATTTTCTTTTAAATTTTCGCTACTCTATTCCCCCCCCCCCCTTCCCCCCCCCCCCCCCAACTTTCAGTCTCTTTACGTTTTCCCCCTAATCCTTTGGGACCCCCCTAAATAATATATAAACCCTTCTAAACTTCTATATTTTTGTAAACTCTAACTTCTCTTTTATTCAAATACACTATTTTGTTCCCATTATCATTCGTTCGATTATTGAAAAACAATTTTTAATGCAATGTTTTCTATTGCTATCTGCATCTGTAATTCTTATTTTGCTATTCTTGCATGAGTTCATATAAAAATTTGCTTCAAAGCACAATTTAAAATAATATTAGGAATGTCAAAGTTAAAATTGAAACTGCGTAGGCAGCAGAAATAACAACGAAACAATAGTTTGACAATTATGGCGACCTTGACATATCACATGAGTTATATAGACAAATATTGATTATCACTCAGCAGACGAGGTGGGAACGAAATAAAAGTTCACAATGACTGGGTAAAAAACATTCAGTTTCTTCTTCTACTTTTTCGTGTTCAGTGGCTTTAAGTGCTGCCCTAAAGTTGTGGTTGTTCGTCTGCCTCTAGACTTGAGTCTTGTTCAGGTACTTGAGTTTTTGTATGCACATCCGTTTTACAGATCCAGCTTATTTGTATGCAGACTGTTGCTTCCTAATCTCTAAGGCAGATGAGCTCTGACTTCAAAGGAAATGCCTTTTTATTTGACTCTTACGACATGCCTGATATGTAGACAGTATGGCTTTTCTTGCTCCCCCCCCCCTTTTGCCCCCATTCCAACCCCTAATGGTTCGAGGGGCAGTCACTTTAAAATATGTAGACTCATTATTGCTGAACCTGTCACTCCTACGCGAAGATAACGTTTTTCGGGCGCTTTTCGCCCTTCCCCTTTTTCCCCTTCTTCTTCTTCTTCTTCTTCTTCTTCTTCTTCTTCTTCTTCTTCTTCTTCTTCTTCTTCTTCTTCTTCTTCTTCTTCTTCTTCTTCTTCTTCTTCTTCTTCCTCCTCTTCTTTTTTATCTCCAACTATCCCATAGAGGTGTGGGGAAAAAGCGGGCATGGTGGGTTGATAGGGTAAGGGGGGGGGGGGGGTAAATGATTTGCTGTGTGCTCTTTCTAGAGCGTTGCATAAGTTAAACTTTCTGTTTCTTTTTTTAACTGTTAATGATGTTGTCCTTCTGTGTCGTTACATGTCTTACCCTAGCTTAGTTCATTGTATTTCTTCAACTTGGCTATCTGAGGCATTTGGTACCGTCATTTTTGTAAGATGGTCGAACTATCCCATCCATTGCTCTTTAGTGCAATTTACCCCTGGATTCAACCCTCGTCTTTTAACATTGTAGTTCCTGTTCTACCATTGTCTGCGTGGGCTCTCCAGCTTGCCTATTGTTTTTTTTGTTTTTTTTATGCAGACGTTCATGAATCAACCAAGTGCTTCTTTAAATGTCTGTAAATCTGGTCTCATCTGGCCAAATTACTGACAGTTGGCTGACCGCTGACGCTCTGAAAGGTTACTTCTTTCCAGCTTGATTATGTAGACGCAAATTTCCTCATTTCAGGACCGGTCGTCCGAAGGTTCCGTTGCCCAGCTACAAAGTTTTTGAAAAAAGAAAAAAAAAAAACAATTATACATGAAATGATAGATTTCCGGCATGGTGACTGTACTTTCTAATTTTATTTCTGGGACAGTTTTTTTGTATGTTTCTGGCAGCAAATTACAACCCGATATCCATTAGCCTTAACAGGGACACAATGTCAAACCTATCATCGTGCGTGCCCACCATTTATCCCCCTAGAGCTTCCATGTTAAATGTCTGACACCCTGAGATCAGATGATCTCATTCTGGATATTAGACCCACAGGTCCTGAACGGTTTGACACGGTGAGATTACAGAATATCATACTGGTGGCAGACCAACAGGTCCTGAACGGTTTGACACGGTGAGATAAAAAAATATCGTACTGATAGAAGACAAAC